TATTTTCTCCTCTCTCTTTTTTCCTTCTTTTTGTAAAAAAATTCATTTCTTAGTTTGAAATTTCCAAAAAGGGAAAAAGGGCTAATTAGCACTTAAATAACTTATAGTTTCTCCACTTGTATACCCTTCACTTGTATTTTGGCAACATATATTATATATCTCTTGAAGCACTTATAATCAAACATTTTAATACCATTTGATTTTAAAGTGTAAAATTATTATTTCTCTAAAAAAGATTGTAAAATTATGACCCCATATTATTTTATGTCATACTCGCGTGGTAATTTTAGAACTTTTAAATTCTTAATGTTTCTTGGATTTACTGTTAAACTTACCTGATTTTTATTTTAAGCAAATACACAAATTCTATTATAGAACGAAGATAAGTTTAACAGTAAATTCAATGTATTTTAGAAGTAGAAAAGTTTTGGGTGCCATATGTGAATATTCAGGAAAATATTCCCATGCTAATGTGCTGCTTCAGAAACTTTCATATGAGGGCTTATAAGTGCAAAGTAGAAGTAAATATGAGGATATATTTATTTCCTTGTATCTGGTGGATTTTGCATTGAAAAGTGGAACTCACAAGTAGGGCTCGGCATGGGTCAATTTGAACCGTGGGCCGAACCCGCCCATTCCAGTTTGAGTCTAAACCCGACCCAACCCATATTAGTGGTGGTCCAGGGGCCAAGCTGGGTTTTGATCCAGACCAAGACCAAAGAAGCACGTCCGACCCACCAACGGCCCAGCCCGGTCCAACCCGGGTTTAATCATAAATAGTTATTTTTTTAGTAATAAATAAATGGGCCTCAACTAGCCAGATAATATTCTTTCAAAGTTCGAACTACATATATCTTTGTGTTTGCGATGTTTACCTCCATGATGCTTATCTCTAAAGATGTCAAGTTCTGAACAAGGGTCTGATCAGCCTCACCCTGTAGAACGACATCAAAGCTATGCTACTCAAGCCCAGCTCGAGGAAACAGGTCAGAAGATCTCTTAATCTTTCCAAGAACCATTCGATGCCTTCTCTAGCAATCTTCTCAGCCGTCTTCCACAGATGCAATTTAGCTATTTAAACTCCAGCAGCATCAATAGTTTGGTGTCCACCGTGGGGACTTTTTTCCTTTTTTGAGAAAACATATCAAGTTTTGAACAAGGGTCTGATCAGCCTCACCCCATAGAACAACATCAGAGTTACGTTACTCAAGCTTAACTTGAGGAAACAGCTCACAAGCTCTCACAGTCTTTCAAAGAACAATTTGCTGTCCTTACAGATGAATTTCTCAGCCGGATTCCACAGCCACAGCGAGCTACCTCAGCTCTCCCTCTACCTTCTAGAGATCAACGGTCGGAGACTCATTCTCCTATCGGGGCCCAGCGAGTAGTCCAGTCTCGGACTCCTCATGCTGCTGCCAAGTAGCTGGGGGATCGCGTCAAGCACGCGACCCCGCCACCTCATCGGTCGAATGGCCTATGTCTCCTTCATCGCCGGGACCTCATCGGTAAGAATTCTGGCACATGCTACCCTGGGCATCGTACTAAGAGAGCGGTCTCTAAGACTCTCCCCCACTATTGTGCCTTTCCAGCCCCCTCGACTACCATAGGGGTGTCTAGATACGATCGAGCGTACAGGCCGATCCCCTCCCACTGCCTCTTCCTCTTCCTCCATTAGGAGCCTCTCTATCAGTATTCACATTGATATTTGAAGCTTTCCTCCTTTTAACAATAAAAATTGGTGCTAAATTTTGTTCATTTTTGTGTGGCATTTCTTCTAAAGATCTCCTTATTCTATTCTTGCCTCCCTTTGGCCTCTCCCTCTTTTTGCCTTATGTTTCTCCTCCACAAGCTTGATTTGTGCCCTCATCATGCGCTTGTGATACCTACAATATTCATAAAAAATACATCATTCACTTCACATTTTATATTAATGTTAGAAATAGATTATGATTTAAACTTACTTGGGTATGTAATTCTCTTAGTGGTGCAGTGGGGCAATTTCTTCTTGTGTGTTTAGTTGATTTACATGGGCTACATTTATGAGAGGCTCCATATCTTGAAGCTTTAAATGAATTTCTAGGAACTCGCGAAGAGTCACTTCTTCTTGTTGTTTTAGGCCTACGAAGAGTTCTCTTGACAATATTGGGAAGAAAGCACCACTCCCTCACCTTCTTTGTCCCAAAAATCAACTACCCTCAACTGGAGGACTAAGTAGGCTGTCATAGCATTGAGTATAGTTGTCACTCTTATACCAATTATATAAGTAATCCTCTGGTAATCTCCTCATGAATAAAATGGCACTAAAAGCATGGGTGCAAGAGACTCCCATCAATTCCCATTGTCTATGAGAACAAGTCCTATTGCACAAGTCCACTGTATGACTAATTCTCTTATATTTGACCTCAAACCCACTTTCATCAAGTCCATTCCACGGAGTCTCATGATTCATTTGCTCCTCATATGCAAGCCTTATTTTCTTTTGTATCCTTAGAGCAACCCTACTAATAAATTTGGCTACTAATTAATTACTTTTTCTCCCTCATTCTATCCATCAATGCTAGCCTAATGTCCTCAAGCATAGATATGATAGGCTTATGTCGTGCAAGAAGGATAAAAGAATTAAATGTCTTAGCCATGTTATTGTCAACACTATCACATTGGCTATGACACTAAAAATGAGACTTGTAGAATGTGTGTGGTGTTAGGAATATTAGCTATTTAGACAATAACGAAAATCAGTTTAAGCAATTTAATAATTAACAGATAATCACTATTATAACACAGATATAAGAAATATATCAAATAAAAAATAAATAGAGTTAGAAATACGGCCTGATGATCGAAGCGTGTAAAGCACTATCCCAAGAATCTAATTGTCCCCTCTCGTACAGGGCTACGCGGCAAAAATTCCTGGAGATACAACGACCCTCAGTCAGGCAACCTCCTTCTCGTCGGCACGAGCTTCAAGAAGACTTTGTGAATTCTTCGTGACTTTCAGGGAACCAACAAAAATGTAACAATAGTAAAATGAAGAGGAAGAACAAAGAAGAAGAGAGAATACGTTGTGTTTTTCACACTGTGTCAAACTCTTCTGATTTAGGTCCTTTTATAGGGTTAAAACAGCCGTTACTCATAAATCCGCAATTAATATATTTTTAATTACTGATTTTAATTCTCATAAAAACTATTTTCCGTTTTGATTCTGTTTTAAATCTCATGAATATTACCGTTTCAAAATTTAATTCTCTTAACCGTTTTGTTTTAAACATCCTGAAAAGATGATTCATAATCACGTTTTTAACTGTTTCAATTAGCAAAAAATAAAAATGTAGCAGACTAAGAGCCCATTAATCCGGAGCTGCATTCGTGTCCGCAGGTCATGTGCGCGTGCCACCCGACCCGACCCGAACCCGAGCCCGGCCCGGCCGGCGCGCACGTGTGTGGTGTGGAGCATAACCTTTGTTTTCTTCTAGGCATAGGAGAGAAAGGGAAGGCTTATAAGGAGCCTATCTTCCCATCTCTTTTCTAATGTGGGACTAAAGTTTTCCTCTTTTCCTCTACAAACCCAAGTTTTAAGTTACAATTCCAACAATCCCCCACATAACTTAAAACTTAAAATAATTCAGAAATAAAAGTAGAATAAAAACAAATAAATAAGATTGCTGGTTCCCTTATACTATGTAATAGGTGGAGGTACCTTTCGGTTTGAACCTTCACTTAGTGACAATTGTATAGATCCGTGAGAACTTGGTGGACTTCGCCTTGAACCAGTCCTATTTATCGGATTTTTACAGAAAGCACACATAGTACAATTTTGAAGAATTCTAAGCGGGTTGCGCTATTATCGGCCTTGCGCAGGTATCTTCCATGTGTGTTACCAGGGAACAGCCTTGATCCCATAGTCGCGATCTCACAACTACACACATATAGGCGAATCCTAATAAGGATGCAAGCAAGTAAGCATCCTGCCTCATGGGTCTTGGATTCATTAAGAGATAGACTCAACCTTTCACTTGCTTTTTATGAGCACTGATCACCCTAGGGATGGGAGCAAATGAATTCAGTGCTCCTCACAATTAATCACTCATTCAGTTTGTTTCTACCCATTGAACCTCTGCGAGGTTGGGTTGCCACTGCAGTGATTTTTCTTATGGGCTTAACCCCATCCCCCTCGATGATTCTAGGACCACTGCCCTAGATAAGCCTTTAGTTAAGTGATCTGCAAGATTTTTCTCTGATCTTACAAAATCTAAGGCTATTATATGGTTTTTCATCTTATATCTCAAGGATTTATGTCGCACTTTCAAGTGTCGATTCATCTTCACATTTGCATTCTCTTGATGACATTTGTCAATCGCTGACCTGCAATCACAATGAATAGAAATGGCTGGTAATGGTTTTTGCATTAGTGGAATTTCAGTTAGAAAATCTTTCAACCATTCAGCTTCTATACTAGTAGTATCAAGAGCTATCATTTCTGATTCCATTGTACTTCTAGCCATTACAGTTTGTTTAGTAGATTTCCAAGACACAGCTCCTCCTCCTAAAAGGAACACAAATCCTATGATGGATTTTACATCTACTGAGTCACTAATCCAATTTTCATCTGAATAACCTTCTAGTACAGATGGATAACCTTTATAGTATAAACCATAATTTATAGTTCCTTTTAAGTATCTCAAAATTCTTTCTAAAGCATCCCAGTGACTCTTAT